CCTGCCCTTGACCGGAATCGAACCTGGGACCCCTCAGTCCGTAGGCTGACGCTCTATCCACTGAGCCAAACCGGTTTTGGCTCATGAGCTGTTCTTAATCAAACCCTGTCTTGTCTGCCATTTTCTGGCTTTTACCTATCATCTCAGTTTTGTTTTAATATCAATTAGGCCTCTGATTGACAGGGTAGAATTTTACAAGTGGAAATGGCCAAGAATGGCATCTCAAACAGAAAGGATAACAGCATGGCAAAGGCAGAGAGGGGTGGAGGTACAGGAACTGGGCACTCAAACGGTGGGGGAGTAATCAGTCACTGACTGGAGTGTGAGGTGGGGCATCTCTGATCAAGTCTTAGGGGAGTAGAGAGGGGTCTATAGCTTGCAAAAATATCAGTGTAAGGTAATCTTACATTCTGACACAGTGAACCTACTGTTTTCTATCACCATCACCACAATCAGCACCATATGTTATACCAAGCCCGGTCTGCAAACCTCAGAGTATAGGGTTCAGGGTCCCAGGAATCCTGAGGGGTCTTATGTGCCCAGACCAGGGGCTGATGAACCACAACGGAGAGAAAACCTGGTTCAGAATGTTCAAAGACCCTGCTTCCGCGCTGGGCACCTGCAAGTGACCTCAGTAAGTCTGGCCCTGGACAGAGGAGTGGACTGGAGGGTGGCCCTGAACTCGGAGGAAAGTTAGGAAGTCCAAACTTTAAACAAGGGTTAATTTCAGAGCCTAAGGAAAACCAATGCGCTTCCCCTGAGTATTTGCAAAACCAGCACTTGCTGAGCCTGTGGCGGGCAAAGTTCCAAACAAGAGCCCTGTTATACAGATGGGGAAACTGAGTCAGACCTTAATTTGGGGCCGCTGGACAGGGCCAGGCAGGACCTGGAGACCAGGGGATCACCAGTAAAGGCGGAGGCAGAGGGAAAGGGAGTGTGTGTGTTTTCTGGCCCTGAGTTGAAGAAGCCCGAGGGAGGTCAGGCGCGAGGGGATCCACCCCATGACTTTTCATAAGCTGTTCCCGTTCCGGAGAGGCGCACCCACTGGGGATGCTGAGTCACGGTGACCGACGAGGCGTAGGGCGCCACACCTCCCTGCCACCCCGCGCAGCTCCCTCCCTGCCACCCCGCGCAGCTCCCGGGGCTGGCTCCCGCTCGCGAGGGGCGGTGTGCGTGTGTCTACCAGCAGGGAAGGCGGAAGCCCGACAGGTGGGGGGCGGGGGAGCACACGCGTTAGCGTGTGGGCTCGCACGTCCGGGGTGCGCATGTGCGCATGTCCCCGCGCCTATTTGGGGGCGGGGAGGAGAGGGTGCAGATGGAGGAGAAGGGGGTGCAGAGGGGCACTCGCTGACGCCCCTGCCCGCACGCTTGGGATGGACGCGCCTGCGCATGTGCGCATGTGTGCATACCCTGGGGATGGGCGTGCGCCTGCGCACGCAGGAATGGGAGGGGGCGCCGGCGCCCTGGGAGGCCCCAAGTTCGTCCTGCGTAGGCGTGACGCTTCGGGATGTCGCCCCAGGTTTTTCGTGTGAGTCCATTGTTAGGTACATGAACAGAAGTTCTCCACCGCACAATGGCTGCGTTTCCATGAGAATAGCAAACTCTATACTTAGTAAAAGGCTACTCAGTCCTATCCAGTTCCTAATGTCAACCCCTCCTTGCGGTGGAAGAACAAACTCTGGTCACCATGTATTTTAGTCCTAAATGAGAGGCGATTTCATTTCAAGTCTAGATCTATTTTTTTGCTCTGTATTAGAAGTTTGCCTCTGGCCCCAGCAACACCTCCTTTTGCCTGGCTTGTGTGGAGTTGCTTCCTGCTGTTCTGCACGGGGACGGGGACATGTGGCCATGAATGACTTGACTTGCTCCTTCCTATCATGAAGCCCTGGTTCTAGTGAGGGGCAAAGAAATGCAAACACACGCTTCCAGGGGAGCGCTGATTGCTGTCATGAAAAACAAAGCCAAGTAGAGGTAGGCCAGGCCTGAGATCTGATGGAGAGGGCCTGAGCAGGAGCAGTTCCAGGAGCAACAGGCAAGTGGGCACCGGGAAGTTGATGTCAAGGTAGCAGGGGTGTAAGGAAAACCCTGAGGCCAGAGAGTGCAATGGAGATGTAAGAACACGGTAGAATTTAAATGTGGGTAAATACACACTTATAGGACTTCCTGACTGACTGAGACGACTAAAGACTGTCTTCTAGGCCACTTCCAGGCCCTTCACAGACATGCAGAAGCCTGGGCCCAGCCCGTCCACCCCTGTGGAATCAGGCCAGCTGAGTGTTACTTCCAGGAGCTTGCCCTGAAGGTTCCTTTGGCTGGGAGCCGGCTAGGCATGCTGACCGTGTACAGTGCTTTTTGGCAGTCGAAGAGCTGAGCACTGGAATGGTTTCTTCATTGCTGTCTATAGATCACAACAGGGGCCACAGCGCAGAGGGCCATCCCCTGCAAATGGTTAGCATTTGGCATTTCGGCTACACTCCGAGAGCTGGATGCCACACCAAGGATACCCCAAGTGAGGAAGGACTATCACCAGTCTTACAAGGATCTCACCTGCTTGTATGTTACACGCTATTTCTCAAACGGGGTGAGGCCTCCAAGGACCCTCTGGGGACTCAGATGTAACATCTGTTCTGCTTCCATCGCCACCCATCCAGCACATAACCCAGGGTTACATGACTCCTATCTCCACCACTATTGTTCATCAGGTCAGTGTTAATACCAGGTACTCGTGTTAAATAGGAACACGCTTGGATAAATGTTTTGCCAGCTGGCTTTTAATATGAACTTTCCTTAAATACACTCATGCAACTTAGCTGTTCCTGAGGTATAGGTCCTCATGCTCAGCTTCTGGGCATCACAGAAGCATGAGTGGTGCTTACAGTTAGATTATGTATTAGTTAGAGGCCCTGTGCATGAAAATTTGTGCATGGGGGGGGCTCCTTTTTTCCTATGTGCTGGGGGGGGGGGGGGGAGTTCCCTCAGCCTGGCCTGACCCCTCTCAGTCTGGGAGCCCTCAGGGAATGTCCTACTGAGGGCTTGGCCACAGTCTGGCTTCCCTCTGCAGAAGGCGATCAGAAGGATTGGGGAAGGCAACGCCTCCATCACCGTGCTGCTGCTGCTGAACTTGGCCCTCGCTTCTTTGCTCTGGCCCTGCCCCCTGCCCATTTGTGTGTGTGGTGATCTGGGGCCAGGCCGGCTGTGGGAGGTTGAGATACCTCGGTTGCACCCGTCCAGCCTCTGCAGAGGCTCCAGGACCACGGGTCGCCCCGCCTCTGCGAACTGAGGCGCCCTGCAGCACACGTGGGACCAGCCTGGGCACTCGGTGCAGCTGCCTCTCCTGCGCCACTGCCCTTGGCCCTCGCAGCTGCCGCGGCTTTGTCCAGAAGAACGTCTGGTCTAATTAGCATATTACCCTTTTATATAGGTGCTCACACTAAGTTAATGAAAAAAGTTTCAATCAAGTGCTGTCTTGTAGTAAATGAAAATGAGTTGAAATTCCTCTGTAACCCAACCTCTAGTTGTGGTTCCCAATGTACAATCTATTCTTCTGCTTAGCAGGATGATCATCCAGTCAGACTAGTCCTCCTTGTCCCTCTGAGGTATGGTTTCTGCCATATATTGGGTCCCTTATCCCTGGGTCTGCTCCCTGGAAAGGCTGCCTGGGCAGCGGATAGTATACATGCTGGTATCCTTCCAAGTGGTCTTCACCATGACATTGGCCTTGGGGAAGCCAGAAGGAGAGGTGTGGTAGGTTGTCTTGTTTCCTGCTCACCCACCGCAGTTCATCCTATCGCCTCAGTGGTCTTTCCCCTTTCAAGTTTTCAGAATCAGACAACAGACTGACCTAAAAACCAATTCAGGTGCAGCTTTTCAAAGTAACGAACCAAGTAGGGCTTCTGACGGTTTCTGTTGCAGTTCATTTTAAACAGACATACAAAATATATTATTAAATGTGTATTTTTAATAAAGCCAAGTTAATTTACTTATAGGAGCTTTAAAAGATACAAAATGTAGAGTTCCAGTTTGGAAGCATTGTAACTATTCACACAATGTCCTGCTGATGCCTGAGCAAGGACCCATGCCCGGCCACACAAAGGACACACACGCTCACACATGCAAACACACGCACTTTGGAGAGGCTCCTCTGCCAAGCGCAGCACCTGGAATTACCAGTGTTCAGAACAAGGTGGTGCTGAGAACACAGCACCTACCAGGAGACCACACAAACAGCTTCACACAGTCTCACAGCCCATGGAGATGCAATTAAAAAATGTCTTAAGAAAAACAGACTAGAATGGGACAATTAGCAACTTCGACTCAGCTGTGCTGGGGCATCAAGGACTGACCTCGGACCAGGGTGAGGTCTTGGGGAGGCACTATTAATACAAGAGTACTTTAGTATATCAGAACTTGAAATACAGGGTACTGTGGACACATTACTGAAGGAAATCGAAAACTACGTTACAAGTCAAACAGCCACAAACAACTTCAACAGAGTTTAGTGCACACACTGTGACGGCTAACACAGACAAGAGCCACGCAGGGTTGGTGCAGAGCACGTGCCTGAAGAAGACTATGTACAAAACAGTTCTCTGTAAACATGGTGAGGTGAATGTTCAGAACCCATGGTGAAAGGATCACAAGTACAGGCAGCAATGGCATCCCCACACAGCACAGGACAACACCCGGGCCTGGAAGTAGCCTGGCGACACAGTATTGAAAATTCAGGCGGCTGGGCTCAGACACCCTCAGGGCCCTCTATAATTAGTGTGTATACAGACATATATATATATTTTCTTTTTGGTATTTTTTAAATATAAATTTACTTATATCTGTAGAAAAATGAGAACATAAATGTGTTATTACAATCTTTGCTGGAAAAGGTTATATGGAGTTAGAAAGAATAAACCATTTATTAGTAGTTAACATATATTAAAATGGTTTAATGATTTAAGAAAATATAAAAAAAATATTAATACTGTCAAACTTTCATACCAGAAAATATTACAGATTTTTTTCAATTAGACTTTTTCAAAGATGAAATATGAAAAATTTAAATAAGTTTTATATAAAGAACTTCTGTAACCTCAATTAATATACAGTGGGATGTCTATTCTATATAGATATATTTATTATTATTTCTCAATTTAAGCACCATTCAATTCTTCTGGATCCATTCTGGCTGGAAAATCCCTAAATCCACAGGATGTTATCTATTTAATGGCACGTTAACTGAATATGAGGTGGGTTTTTAAAAAAAGAAAATACTTTAATTCCTATCTATATCTTAATTGGTTTGTCTTGAGCCAGCTCATAAAAGTTACTGCAATTTCAAGGGCTGCTGTCTCTGTACAGCCTCTTGACCACACCCAACCTCTGAGACTGTATTGAAGCCTCTGGCCGTGTGTGGAAGGACCTGAGGGCAGCAGGTGTGTCTTTGTCCTGCAGACAGTAGCCAGCTGGCTCATCTCCGTGCACCATCAGGAATTGCCTCGACTTCAGTTTTATGATCCTGCTTTTGTAAATCGGACAAAAGCTGCGCTCCCTCGGTGCTGCTGGGGTGGTGAGGGCTGCCCACACAGAAAACCCAGGTAACTAATTCTGATCACACATATTCTGTATGTTGCCCATTTTGTATAAGCTTAAATAAAAATAGTGTTGAACAAACCTCCAGCCGCTATATTTGTTATCTTAAAAACTTCAATGCATTTTAGGCAGGAGATGTTTTAACTGAAAACCTGTATGAAAAATAGCTATAAAATACAGTGATTGGTGTGGTCATCACTTAATGTGTTAAGAAGGGAGAGGTTTCAGAAGAATGGTCAGTTTTGCAGTCATCCTTCCAGCCTGATGCCTTCCCAGCACACACAGTGGGACTACAAACTCCAGAGCTATTTCTCAGAGGGTGGCCTGTGGCCCAGCTGCATCAGAATCACCAGAAGTGCTTATTAAGCTAGAAGATCCAGCATTTCCCTGAGGAGGGTCAGAGACCTCTGTCTTCAGCTGGCCCTCCAGGGGTCTGATGCCTCCAAAGTTTGGGAAGCCAGGCCTTAAAGGCTTGGAGCTGCCAACCACCCCCATCCCCAAGGATCCTTGCCTGGGACAGGGGTGCACTGGTCCTCTGGGGGGTTGGTGCCAACTAGTCAGCCCTAGGATGGGGACACTGGCCCCAACAGCTTTGGTCAGGCAGGCCTGGGTCAGTACTGGGGCAAGTAGGCTGGCCTGCGCTCAGCCTTCCCCGGGAAGGCCTTGAAGCCCTTGGGCGCTGCCTTGTGTGCTGCTGGGGGTGGGGGCTGTGGTGGGGTCTGCACGTAGGAGAAGGAGGCCGTGCTGCAATCACTGCTTGCAGCCCATACCGGGGACTGCAGCATCTGCATGGTGTCGTTCCATTGGCTGCCAGGGCTGGTGACCGCATAGAGTGGTGCGCCTGGGCTAGGCAGTGTGCTGGGCAGTGGAGAAGGGTGTTGCCAGGGTGCTTTGGGTGGCCACGTTTTGGTTTTGTTATCCTGAGAGACAGAAGAAGGTTCTTAGTGGCATTTCTGGCAATTTATCATCTTTCCCGCCGCCCCGATCTCTGCCCTGTTTTCACGTAGGAGACAGGGTGAGAGCCTCTCCCTCTCCCACAGCCTGGGACAGCACTGTGCAGGAGAACTGGCAGTGGCAGGAATGTTGTCTGCACTGTTCAGTGCAGTAGCCACGTGCCAGTTATGGCTAGTGCAACCATGACTCAATTTTTATTTACATTGATTTCCATTGATATTCAAATAGCTACACGTGGTAGTGTCTACCATATCAGGCCGCACAGTCCCAGAGCTTCCTCTACATATGGCTCTGAGTTAGCTGAGCTGGCTGATCATTTAGACAAAATCATGGGAAAAAAGTTGTTCACCACAAAGATCCCATCATTTCTTTGATGCCCTCTTAAAATTTCAGCTTTGGTCCCTGGCCGGTTTGGCTTAGTGGATAGAGTGTTGGCCTGCAGGCTCAAAGGCCCCGGGTTCAATTCCGGTCAAGGGCATGTACCTTGGTTGCAGACACATCCCCAGTGGGGGGTGTGCAGGAGGTAGCTGATCAATGTTTCTATCTCATCGATGTTTCTAACTCTCCCTCTCCCTTCCTCTCTATAAAAAAAATCAATAAAATATATTTAAAAAACCCCCAAAACTTCAGCTTTGGGCTCTGGTTGGGTGGCTCAGTTGGCTGGAACGTTGTCCTGTACACCAAGAGATTGTGGGTTCAATTCCCCCGATGCCCAGTCAGGGCACATGCCTAGGTTGTGGGTTTGATCCCTGATTGGGGAACGTTTGGGAGGCAACCGATCAAAGTTTCTCTCTCACAGCCATGTTTCTCTCGCTCCCTTCCACTTTCTCTAAAAATCAATAAACATATCCTTGAATGAAAATAATTAAATAAATAAATGAATAAAAAACGAAAAAAATACTTCAACCTTGGAACCTTGCTCATGGTCTGTACCCAATAGAGCCAGCCCTGTGGCCAGAGCAGAGCCCCCAATACCTGATTCACATCCTCCACTGTGGTAAGAAGAGGCGGTGAGGGCAGCGTGCTGGTCTCCTGCTCTCCACTGCTGTGTTTCCTGAAAGAACCAAGAGCTCAGTGCAATAGATGCCTTGTTTCCTGTCCAGCTTACCTCCATGGGGCACCTTATCCACTTGGCTCTGGCATCTGGGGCACTGATTCTAGGTGGGTGTGTGGAGACGTGCTTGGATACACAGCGTGCAGGGGAAAAAAGTGAGTCACCATCAAATGCTGCATTCCGCAAGCCATCACAGGGTTGGGATAGAGTAGGGGTGGCAGGCATGAGGACAAATACTGGCTCTTTCAGCTGCTCTCTGAGTCCATCAGCTATGGAAGCGGTTCTCAACCTATGGGTCGCGACCCCTTTGGGGGTCAAACGACCCTTTCACAGGGGTTGCCTAAGACCATCGGAAAACACATATAGAATTATATATTGTTTCTGTCAATCAATATGCTTTAATTATGTTCAATTTGTAACAATGAAATTGGGGGTCATGTATTAAAGGGTCGCGGCATTAGGAAGGTTGAGAACCACTGAGCTATGGCCTTTTGTTAATTTATTCAACAGATACTGATTACTTACCATGCAATGTGGATATGTGACTATAAACTAAAAGCCTGTTAAGTTTCACAACTGACATGAAGTTTGTTATAAGGATGAAAAAGGCAGGATTAGCAGGTTCAGAGCCGGGTAACTCAGTCTATCAGCGCTCCTGCATGCAGACAGCAGTCTCTGCAGAGGTGATGCTACAGGTCACTGAGATGTCTAACCAGCCTCCCTGATTTCCCATGTCTCAAACAGAAGTCTGAAACTCCACCCCTGGCTCCATCCTGCTTCTCCTGCAGTCCTCCCAGTCTTGGTCCATGGCACCCCCTTTCACACAGATAGATATTCAGGCCAAAAACTTGCCTATCATCCTTGATTCTCCTCTCTCACACGTACCCTCTGCCAATACCTCACCGGTGCCCCCTCATTGTGTTCAGCTTTCTGCTCATCAGAGGCCTTCCTGACTCTCATTCTGAAAACAGAAAATCCACCTGTCCCTTGCACTCTGCCCCCAAACCCTGCTTTATTTTTCTTCACAGCATCTAACCCAATCTGACATATTTTGTTGTTGTTGTTTTAAATCTGCCTTCCTGCAACAGAATATACCTTCCACAAGGAGGGGGATTTTGTTTTGTTTGCCGCTACATTACAGTGTCTGGTACATGATAGGTGCCAATGAATGAATGAATGAATGAATGAATGACGTTAACTTCTCCAAGTCTCAACTTCTTCATCTATGAATTGGGGGTAAAACAGTACTTGTATAATAAGATGGTTGCTATGTGCTGAATTATGTCACCCCCCTACCCCCCAATTCATATGTTGACTTTAAATTCATATGCTGAAGTCCTAACTCCCAATACCTTATACTGTGAGTGTATTTAGACATAAGGTGCTTAAACACCTAAGTTAAAATGAAGTCATTAGGGTGGGTTCTAATCCAATGTGACTGTTGTCCTTATAGGAAGAGAAGATTAGGACACGGACACACACAGGAGAAGACCATGTGAAGATACAAAGAGAAGAAGGCTGTCTGCAAGCCCCGGAGAGAGACCTCAGAGGAAACCAACCCTGTTGACACCCTGATCTCAGACTTCAAGCCTCCAGAACTGTAGGAAAATAAACTTATCTCGTTTAAGCCCCCAGTCTGTGGTACTTGGTTACGGTAGCCCTAGCAAATAAATACAGAGGTTGCGAGAACTGAGTGAGAAAATGTACGTAAATGCTTACCCAGGGCCTAGCTTGTATTAGCAATCACTCTCATCACCACTGTTACAACTCTGTGACTCAGGTAACCTTCCCTCTTCACCTACCCACGCCCCATTGCTTATCCACTGAAGCCCGACCTGTCACACCAGGGCCGTGTAACCTGGCCTCCCTTTCCTCTCCACAGCATGACTGCCACTGCTCAGGCAGCCCTGCATGCTATTTCCTGCCCACATCCTTTAGACTGCCACTCTGGGCCTCTGCTTTCTCACACCCACAAAGTCTTTCTACTTCTCGTAACCAAATTATCCTCTTATTTCAGGGTCCATTTAAATATGAGATCTAAACTTCTTAGATCTGAATATATATTTCTATTTTTTTCAACTTTGAAATACCAGTCAGAGGTCATTTTATCCACCTCTCCCTTTCACAAGGAAACTGAGGGTCAAGCCTTTTATTTGGAGCTGCAAAGCCTGCTGGTGAGCCCTGATTAGAACTTGCTTGTCCTGGTCCTGCTCCCCCCACTCCCACAAAAGGCTGCCTCCTGCAAGGCACAGACCAACACAGGCAAACCCGGTCTCAGAACTCTCCCTTGCCTGACATACTGGAACTTTTTTACTTCCATTGGCATGAGACTATTCTGCCAGCAAAACTCAACCCAATGTTAAGTCACCCGGACTACAGGCCTGTGTGGTGGCCCCACAGAGGCCTAAGCAAGACAGTGCCAGCGAAGGCCCTCTGCCTTTTTCACACAGGCCGATTGGGAACAGTGGGCTCCTGAGCTTTCCGGAGGACTAAGCTGTGGATCACATTCACGTGCCCCATCCTTTGATTCAGAAATCTCTTCATACCTTCTCTGCTTGACAGCAGCAACGAGGTCAGGCCCTGAAAACATGGAGAACAAGCTGTCGCCATTGGCGGAGGATGTCTCATCACTCGAGCTGGCTGAGTCTCCCTGAGTACCCGACCAGCCGCTGTGCAGGCCATCCCTGAAAGCCAAAGAGAGAAGTTGGTCCTGGGCCTCCTGCAGCCAGCCTAGACACCGGCAGCCCAAACCAAGCTCTAAAAGAAGTCTTTACCCTCCACTCATCTCACACCAAATAGTGGTTTCTTATGTCTTACATGCAGGTCCACGTGCAAGTGACCTGTGCAGTTCAAACCTGCCTTATTCAAGGGTCAACTGTACTTTTGTGCCGTGGCTAGGAACCCATGAATGCAGAGAGTCAACTTAAATTTGTGTGGATTTTCAACTGCATGGTGGGTTGGTGCCCCTAGCCCTTGTGATGTTCAAGGGACAACTGTAATACATATGCATTACTGCCCTTTATTCCTCTCAGAAACCTGTGGTTTACATATGATATTCCTCAGAGCAAACAAAAACTTGAGGTGGTCTTTAGCTGTCCAGATTTCTTAACCAGGTAGCAATAAGAGATGTGAAAAACCAATCCCCAGTTGTCTTTATGATGAAAATCCACAATTCTCTCCATTCAATGGAATCAGAACCATATATCTTTACCTTTTGTAAATGGTAAGGATCACATTCCATAAACTACATGGGTTTGTTTCAAAGACATGCTCATTTCAGCATAAAAACTTTGTTAAACATGCAATTTCTTTACACTATCAAATAAGATCCTTGTCTAGGGTGGAAGAGTCTGTCTAAAAAATCAATTTTATACCAATGGTGTGTTCACAGGGACACTTCATGCCACCGTGCATCCCACAGTTAATCACAAAACTCTGCCTCCTGAAGATCTGACCATTTTTCACTCTCATATGTGGGTTTGGAATTGAATTACTTGATAAGTGTGCACAAAGGCCCCAGGGGGGACACCCAGATCCCAAACTTAGCTTTACTGCCACGCCCAGCACTCACCCTTCTGTGAAGAACTCTGGGAAAGGCCAGGTCCTATGGGCATCATCCATGGGTGGCCAGTGTCCCCGAGGGTTGCCTGGACGGCGACTGTGTTGGACTTGCCGCTTCTGCTGCATTGCCTGGCTCACTCCTGCCACGTAGCGTGCAAATTCAGGGTCTGAACCCACTGTGTTGAGACAAAGGGATAAACAGGGTTTGGAGCCAAATTGGCCTCATTTCCTTTGCTACCTTCTGAGAATGTGCTGGTCACACACACAGAAAAGTGGTGAGCTGCCAGGCCTGTGGCCAAGTTGGCTGCAGGATTTGCCTAGCAGTCTGCAATGGTGAGCTGGGGCTTGGAGCACACAGGTCTGAGGTTCACCTATGGTGTGCATAGGACTGTCAGGAAGGCTTATGCCTAGGACAGAGGCAGGCTGAATGTGAACAGGAGACAGGGAGAACAAAAAAGGTTTGTTTTAGCCATAACTAAATATTAAGGACAAATACTTTAACATTTTCCAAAGTCTAATGTTAGATAGGTAACAACTTGGAAAGTCAGGTGAGCAGCCAACTAACCTGCAAGTTATCAAAGCATCAGGGTTAGCCAGCTAGAGAATATATGCCATTCCCACTTGGGCCCAACTCTGATAGAATATTTCCATGGATATTGGATGGCAAACCTGCTCGTTCAGTCTGAAGAAACAGGAGTGGTAATAGGCCCTGACCCAGTGACTCAGTTGGTTAGAGCCTCGTCTTGACATACCAAGATTGCAGGTTCGATCCCCAGTCAGGGTGCATATAAGAGCCAACCAATGAATGCATCAATACATGGAACCACAAACCAATGTGTCTCTCTCTCTCTCTCTCTCTCTCCCCCCCCTTCCTCTTTCTCTCTTAAAAGTGGTAAAAATAACATGAAATTTCAGGATGTATTAAGAGGTGCCTGGAAACATACTGGATAGAGCTGAGTAATGTGCAGGGCAGTAAAAGTGGGAGAAAAAAACAGCACAGAAGGTATATCTCTCTTAGAGAAAGAGTCAAACAAAAATCTATGGCAGCCCTTCCTCTCTGAAATCAATAAAATTAAAAAAACAAACAAATAAAAAACCCCAACCTGTGTGGTTCAGCGGTTGAGCGTTAACCTATGAACCAGGAGATCATGGTTTGATTCCTGGTCAGGGCACATGTCTGGATTGCGGGCTTGATCCCTGGTAGGGGGTATGCAGGAGGCAGCCCATCAATTATCCTCTCTCAACATTGATGTTTTTATCTCTCCTCTGAAATCAAGAAAAATATATATTTTTAAAAATTATGGCAGGAAAATACCCATGGGTCACAAACTGATTATGAATCAGCAGTTTGTATGTTTTAGGTCCAGGTTGGGAAAGACACTAAAAGCACAATCACACCGTTAGCTTTTGCTCAGGGCTCGGCCACAGGACCACTGCATGAAACTGTGCCATTGTGCACTATAGACAGATGCCCACAAGAGGGAGAGTAGAGGCTGAAATCAAGGCCCTGTCCCAGTGAGTCAAGCCATGTCCCCAGGGGCTGTGTGTATCTGTCCAGAGAGTGCCTTCTGTAATTCACCTGTCTATATAGACTCTATGCCCTTGGGACAGGTCTGCAGAAAGCTACATTAAGGACTTGAAGGTCAGAAAGGAACACCCAGAAGGAAAAGCTGGAAGGATTTGCAGGCTAAGGACATAAAGACAGTCTGGGCCTCAACAGGTATCAACAGTGATAAAATTCTGCCCTAGATGGTTTGGCTCAGTGGATAGAGCATTGGCCGGTGGACTGAAGGGTCCTGGGTTTGATTCCAGTCAAGGGCACATGCCCAGATAGCGGGCTCGATCCCCCATAAAGGGTGTGTAGGAAGCAGCTGATCAATGATTCTTTCTCATCATTGATGTTTCTATCTCTCTCTCCCTCTCCCTTTCTCTCTGAAATCAGCAAAAATATATTTAAAAAATAAAAGAAAGAATAAAGAATCTAAAGCTTCAGCATAGGTAACATCAACTCACCTGGATTTAAAAAAGAAAAACAACAACAGTGATAAAATTCTGCCAAATACCACTTATACTCTGGTTCACCTACATGACTGTCAAAAATGTACCGACTGTTTATCAGCAATGGAGGAAATGTGCCATGCCTCTTCCGCAGTGCCAGGGAGGCTTGCTCCTCCACAGCAGCTGGAGCTGTTTGCCCTTCCAGTAGCCCAGGGCATAAAGTTCCCCACATCCACCCACCCCAGGGCAGCAAGAACAAGAAAGCATGAGCAGCAGCTTGAGAAATTTCTAGAAGAAATAAAAAAACACTTCTGCCCTTTAACAATTAATGTTGGGTTGTTTTGTCAGGGAAACTCCTCTTCTTGTGGTTTTGTAAATATATACTATAGTTATGTGTAATATCTCAGAGTATTCCCCTTGTGAATGAAATATACTTTCCACTTCTGTATACCTTTTACTAAATTAGAGAAAAAAGCAATTTCTATATACTTATCTTGCATCTACACACTTTATCAGATTTGTTTACTAATTCTACAAGTTGCTTTTTTTTTTTTACTGAGTCTTGTTTTTTCCACGTCTATAGATAGCAAAGAGATGTGCTTTATAATCTATCATTTTCTAAAGCTTGTATCTCTTATTTCCCTTGTTTTTGTCTTGATGTATTTGCTAGAAAGTTCAAGATAAAGTTAAATGCTGTTGGTAGTGATAGCTGCCACCCTGTCTGGGTCTAGATTTTAACTGGAACTTTGTTTCACTATGCAAAGTGCTACTTACTATTTGTCAGGGAAACTCCTCTTCTTGTGGTTTTGTAAATATATACTATAGTTATGTGTAATATCTCAGAGTATTCCCCTTGTGAATGAAATATACTTTCCACTTCTGTATACCTTTTACTAAATTAGAGAAAAAAGCAATTTCTATATACTTATCTTGCATCTACACACTTTATCAGATTTGTTTACTAATTCTACAAGTTGCTTTTTTTTTTTACTGAGTCTTGTTTTTTCCACGTCTATAGATAGCAAAGAGATGTGCTTTATAATCTATCATTTTCTAAAGCTTGTATCTCTTATTTCCCTTGTTTTTGTCTTGATGTATTTGCTAGAAAGTTCAAGATAAAGTTAAATGCTGTTGGTAGTGATAGCTGCCACCCTGTCTGGGTCTAGATTTTAACTGGAACTTTGTTTCACTATGCAAAGTGCTACTTACTACTGGCTTTTGGTAGGCAGTCTTTTTTTTTTAAAATATATTTTATTGATTTTTTACAGAGAGAAAGAGAGAGGGACAGAGAGCCAGAAACATCGATGAGAGAGAAACATCGATCAACTGCCTCCCGCACACTCCCCACTGGGGATGTGCCCGCAACCAAGGCACATGCCCCCGACTGGAATCGAACCCCGGACCCTCGAGTCCGCAGACCGACACTCCATTCAGGGCTAGGTAGTCTTTTTTAAAAAATTTAAAAAAATTTATTTTTTACTCTAGAGATTGTCTCTCTTGAAAACAAACTCTACATTCTACACTCAGCCCCTTCCCCCCATAGTCTTTTTTTTATATTCAAGAAATTTCCTTTTATTCATTTTTTACTCTAAGGGATTTATTTATTTTTTAAGAACTGCTGGTGTCTTTTATTAAATGTCTCCATAGTATCTATTACTATGAGTTTTTCTCATTTAATTGGTCGATCTGATGGATTACCGTACATTAGCAGAGTTCCTTCTACTGAACCACCTTATACCCCTAAAGTAAACGGGGTTTAGTAACATCTGCACTGATGAATTTTCTTGCATCTATCCCCTCATACATGAGATGCACTATAGTTTGCTTTCTGTATAATCCTTATAAAGTTTTTATGGTAAAAATCATGTTGGCTTCATAATTACCTTTATAATCTCTTCTACTGAAATACATCTATAGATCTGGGCAGGTTTTCTACTTCTTGGTACCATTTTGGTAATGTATATTTTATTAGGAAAGAATCCATTTTCTATTAAGTTCTCAAATGTGTTGTCATCAAGTCATATGTAGTAATGTTTTAAGAGTTCTTCTAATCTCTCCTGTATCTGTAGTACTTATGTTTCCTTCTTTTTTTCTGGTCTTGTTTCTTTTAGCTCTTTTTTTCATTAATCCTCACACAAGAATATTTTTTTTCCATTGATATTTAGAGAGAGGAAGGGAAGGGAAGGGGAGAGAGAGAGAGAGACAGAGAGAGAGAGAGAGAGAGGGAGAGAGAGGAAGAGAAACTTCGATGTGAGAGAAACACATCTACTGGTTGCCTCCCACACACATCCAACCAAGGCAGGTATTGAGCCTGCAACTGAGGTGCCCCTGACTGGAATCAAATCCGGATCCTTCAGTCTGCAGGCCAATTTAGCCAGGGCTCGCTCTCTTTTTTTTTAATCCTCACCTAAGGATGTGTTTTTGTGGGTGTTTTTTTTTTTTTGAGAGGAAGGGAGTGGGAGAGGAAGGCACTGGATAGTGAACCTGCAACCTAGGCATGTGCCCTGACCGGGAATCAAACTGTGACCTCTTGGTTCATAGGTTGATGCTCAACCACTGAGCAACACCAGCCAGGCGAGGATGTGTGGTTTTTTTTTTTTTTGTTAACTCTCACCTGTGGATATTTTTTCCATTGCTTATTCAGACAGCGTGGAAGGGAGGGAGGGAGGGAAAGGTGGAGAGGAAGAGAGAGGGATATGTGAGAGACACATGGATTGGTTGCCTCCCCTGTGAGCCCAACTGGGCTGAGGAACAAACCTGCAACCCAGGTACATGCCCTTGACTGGGAATCGAACCTTTGAAGTTTCAGTCTACAGCCTGCGCTCTAACCATTGAACCACCAGCCAGGGATACTATAATTGTGGCTCTTATCCTTAATCAGTTCCTCCTCCTAGTTTATCTTTGTTTTGTTTCTAAGTTCTTTTTCTAATTTCCTAAGATAACTCTGGTGGTATACTCACACAGTGTATGTTGGGAGAAGCTGTATTCTATGAAGGCAGGAGGGTACCCTACCACCTTTCATAGGTGCTGGAGTTTAAGCAGAAAAGAACACCACAACAGGAAAAAGCCCCCACTGCTGTAGCTCCCATGAACGGGAGGGCCCAAACTGGAGCCCACTTGCACTAGTAGCTTCTCTTATGCCTCACCCTGTCCTCTGCAAAGTGAGAAAAAGAGTTCCATTTATCTTCTCAGTCTCAACCTCACTGCTTCCCACCTTTGCTGGGTCTGTCCCACACTTGCCATCAGGCAGTGAAAAAGGGTCTTTAAAATCACTTCCCCACAAGGCTGTGGCCAACTGGCCCTGTGATGTCCTCGGTGATTATATTTATGTTACAACCCTGAGGAGGGGGACTCACGTACCTGCAGGATCAAAAGGTAGAATCTCTCCCAACATTCCGAAGACTCCATCACTTTGGTCACGATTTGGCCAGGTATTATTTCTAGGTCCCTGCGGCTTCTGCCCTAAAACCTCTGACATCATGTTATCCATGTAGCTGCTCACCAGACCCAAGCTGTACAAGTCAGAACTGAGATCAGACATGCCAGGCCACTGGCCCAGAGGAGACAGACCCACTCCGACGGGCTGTGCTGGCTGCTGGGATGAGCCATGTACCCATTTCCCAGGGGCGCGAGGCTGGGGTGGGGGCTGCTGTGGTCCAATGGGTTGGAGCAGGTGTTGGTAGTATTGAACCTGGGGTTGTTGTTGCTTTGGGGACTGCTGCTGAGGTGCCAGGCCTTGCTGGGGTGTCAGAGGTGTGTGTGTCCCAGCTTGGGGTGGCCGCGGTGGAGGGGGCGCAGGCAGTGGTGGTTGCTGTGGCTGCATGGCTCCTGCCTTCTGTTCAGTCACCAAGGCTGTGGCAGCAGAATTACGCCTTGTCACTAATGGGGAGCCCTGATGTGACTGGCCCATATTAAAGCCGGAGAGAAAATCGATCACCTCCTGCATTTCCTGATCAGTTGGCAAGTTCATACCCTTCTCGTCCTTGCCATCATCCCCTTGCAGAAAGCTGTCAAGCCTCTCCATGAGAAAACCATTGGCCATTTGATTACTGGGATTCTGAGCTGACTGTGAAGGGTCTGCAGTCCGAGGAAAATTACCAATGTTCAAAATGCTTTGTAACCTTGAATCAATATTACTGGGCATTTTGGCTTTCTCTTCTGAACACCCAGCTATGAAGATGCTTTTGGAAGGGGTATTTAGGATGGAATAATTGGTGCTGCTGCCAGAGCTGGTACACGAAGCTTTCTTGGTGAAGCGGGATGTCAGTTTGGAGAAGGTCTTCTGCAGGCCGCCTGAAGGTTTGTTCCCATTTCCAGAAGGGAGGTCAGCCTGATTCCCAAAATCACACATCTCCCTTTGCAGCTGTATCTGTATGCAGGGCAAAGCTTGTTCCCTATTTCAACAGAAATGTAGTTTTTAAAAAAAGACAAATATACAAATTGGATAATGAAATAGATGTCTTTATGTTTAAGAAAGACTTCAAGAACAAAAAAGACCTCTCTGTGTGTTATTAGGTTCACTTATTTATATACTAGAGGCCCAGTGCATGAAATTCATGCACAGGTAGGGACCCTAGGCCGGGCCAGCAATCAGGGCTGATCAGGTTCCCCACCTCCCTGCCTCCTCCTTCCCTCGCTGCCCACATGCTGCCATGGCGTGGTTCCCCCCGCCTCCACCTTCCCTTGCCACCTGGGTGTCGCCACCACATGGTTCCCCCTGCCTCCCTGCCTCTGATATCCCTCACTCTCTCAGTACCCCACTGCCACTGCTGGTCCCCTGGCATGTTCCACGCTGCCCCCGGTGGACAGTGCACATCATAGAGAGTGATCAAACTACCATTCTCCCAAGGGGACGCTTTGCATATTAGCCTTTTATATATATAGATATAAAAAGCCAGTGACCGTAATGCCATAATGACCGGTTGCTATGATGCCCACTGCGGCCAGCGAATCTGCCCGAAGGGGGGTGGGGCTGGCCGGCCAACCTCCCACAGCCCCTCCCCCAAACCAGCCTGCTCCTGATTGGCCTCTCTCACCCTGATCAAGGGCAGGGTGGCCGGCCAACCCCCCTGCAACCCCTCCCCCTGGCTGGCCCCACCCCTGATCACCCCCCCACCCCAATAGGGGGTGGGGCTGGCTGGCTAACTTCCTGCAGCCCTTCCCCAAGGTTGGCCCTGCCCCGAATGGGCCCCCACCTCACTGAATGGCCTGCGGCCCCTCCTCCCAGCTGGCCCCACCCCTAATTGCTCCCACACTCTCATCAGGGGCAGGGCCACCAGCCAACCACTCATGGCCCCTCCCC